AATGAATTCAGCCACTCAACGGGAGGTGAGAAGGTGGAAAAGCAGCCGAAGCTGCAAGACCAAGCAGATAGATCAGGGAGAATCAGTGGATAAAAGGCAAAAAAATGTACATAAAAATCGTCCCTGTGCCGATGTATGACCACCAGATAGCCAAGACGCCAGCGCCGCTTGGGGAAACCCTGTGGGTGAAAGTGACCCAGCTGGAGACCCGATCAAGGCCAGCTAACCACCCTGAGGCTATCTGCAGAAGCGTGGCTGAGCGGGCACACCAATGGGAGAAAAACACGCGAATTCAGGCACTCCCAATTGGCTGGGGCTCCGGTGCGAGGGAGAAGGAGGTGAAGATGGCGCCTGCGCGATTTAAAGCCCTCCGAAGGGTGAGAAAATCGCAAAAAAAACCCTCAAATAATTCCAACTAAAAATGGGGAACGCCGGCAGCCGCCAGAAGCCTTGCCGCTCCTGCCACGCTTTAAAGCAAAAGCGGCAGCTCTCCACTGCCGTCCAAAGGTGGTGCGGCAAGTGGAGGATCCCACCACCACCACACCTACCTCCGAGACTCTAGGAGAAATTAAATGACATGAAGCAAAAAGGGGAGACAAATGAACTGTTAATTATAGGAAAACATATTAAGGAAAAAGAAAAGGAAATACTAGGAGAGTCCAAGCCTAAATAAATTATGCTGGAGCTCACAAATATAAGTCCCAAACGGGCAGACTGAGGAAAAATTCTGGCGCCAAGTAACACCACGAGGCGTGGCCAAGGAAAAGATTCCTCAGTCCCAGGGCAACCAGATTGATTTAACCCATCGCTTGGACTGTCCAAGCGGTGCACAGGAAAATTTTGGGGTCAACTGAAGTCATAAACATCAGTCAAGGATTACCTTTATTTACAATCTCCAAGTCATAGTTCTCATTTGGGAGTTTAATCTTCCTCCAAATTCTAGTTCAGATTTAGGATTAAGCATCTACCTCTATACAAAGTACTTTAGAAAAAAATAGAATACTGCAGATTTGAATATTTAGTTGGAAACAAGAATTAAATTAAAAATTACATAATGCCCATATTTCTTCTTATGCATGGTACACAGGGAAATTTTGTAAAATCTATCATCTGTCTGTGTGTGTGTGTGTGTGTGTGTGTGTGTGTGTGTGTGTATGTATGTATGTATGTATGTACGTATGTATATATCAATCAATCATCTACGTATCTATCTAGCTATCATCTACCTAGCTAGCTATAGCATTTTTACTTCCTTCAAACAAGTATAAATGCTCTTCCACTTCAACAATCCTTGAAATGACATTATTATCTGAAGTGGACTAATGGGGGCCCTTTCCTAGCTTCACAAAGTGCATTATTTCACATTACCTCAATATGAACTGCCTAATGTAAACATGCATAGATGGGCCTGCCTGAGACAGAGTAGATATAGTTAATCGGGGATTGCTTTTATTTTCCCACACACTGTTCATTTTAGAAAGCTAATAAGTATTAGCTTACTAGTATTACATATCATTTCTAGCATACTATATCAAAAATAGCATTTTTGAAATTAGACTATTGGAACTCCTGAATATATATAGCTATTTCTCATGGGAGAGAACATTTTTTCTCCTGTTTGCAGTAATCAAATGTATAGAAACCTAAATTAGCCAACCATTAAAGTATGGCCAGAAACTCTTCCTAAAATTCTGAATTAAAACTACTAATTTATTCACAAAAAGCATACATATTCTTCCCAAAAATTTTCCCAAAACTATTTTAGTGGTTTTTATCATTTGATGCATTTTGAGAAAACACTTTTAAAGATACATTTTTCAGATGGCATTTATCTTTTCTGCTAAAGCTGCTGCTTTCTGTCCCAACTACATATTTCTTGAGTAATGCCATTTTAAAGTTCATGGAAATAAGGTCGCACCTAATTTGCAATGTGACATCTTACATTTCCATGCCTTAACATCTTCTGGCCAGCGGCTGGGGAAAAAACACAGGGAGAGTCAACCTTCTGACAAGCTTGTTAAATACTAAATGCACCCTTCCTTCTAAACCTGCAGTTTTCATAAATTAGGCATTGCTGTGTTCTTGTCTTCAATCAAATCAAAATGCCACATTCTGAAAAAGCATCCTTCTAAGCAGCGTTTTTATGCTGACATCCAATAAAACATTCTGGCCTGCCGAATGCAGCAAAGAGTTTCCTGAGGCTAATGGGGAAGAAGAAACAACTGCTCTGTCCCATTACCTGCATGAAGCCAGATCTGAGCCAAAGTCATCCAAGGATGCAGAGGACCCTGCTTTGGAGTACTACTCTGCAAAGACGAAGCCACCTCTGATAGTGCCTGCTCCACTCTAGAGGCTGCTATTGATGTCGCATGGATCGAACCTATGAAAGGAATGACAAATAATTGATTTCAGGAGAAAGGGACAAAGACGCAAGCTCTCACATGCAGGTTCTAAATTCTTCATTTTAGCTCTGTGTAAGGTAAAACTGTTATAAATCCCCCAAACCTATACTTCAGGGGATGTGTATGATATTTTTTTAAAAAAACTTCATTAGGAGGTTAGTGTTGGTGAACCTGTGTTAAAAGGCTTCTAGTGGAAATGACAAATGAGACTGGAGCAGCCATTGGGAAACACAAAGATTTTTAGCTATAAGTGGAAGTGAGTAAATTTGTGAGTACACAAATGCTAAGGTCCAAAGGTTGTGCAATAACACTGTACAATAATTTCATTTACTTGCTCTTTAATGCACGTCTTTGATATATTTTTTCAGCAAAAGGGATAATTTGAAGGGTATATTAAGAGTGGGGAAAAACCCAATGTATTACATGGGGAGTAGCCTCAACATTTTCCTTAAAAGCAATCAAATGGCATAAATCAGTCATTTTCAACCTGTGGTCCGCCAATGTTGTCACAGGGGCTCCGCGAAGCCTTGAAGAAATGCTATGATTTAAATCTTGGGTTAAGTCTTTCTGGTCCGGGCTATGGCCTGGGGCCACAAAAGGTTTTTAAAGGGGGTCCTTAGTGAAGAAAAGGTTGAGAACCTTGGGCATAAATTATAAAGTTCACCTATCAACAACACTAGCAGCAGTTAGAAAAGTAAACAAAATGGACAGTTCATTCAAAATGAGTTGGAGTATATAAAAGAAGCTGATTCAGAGCTAGTAGATCTTGATATCTCCTCATTTATTACCATTTGTCATTTTAAAAAAAATGACTAATCATATTTCAGTGCACAAGATGGTGCCAAGTTATCATCAGCTCTCACTACGCATTTAGAATATAGCAGTTTTTGCTGCAGTTTCTAATTATGTAAGAGACTTAGTACATCTCTTTAAATGTTCATGGCACTTATTAAATAGATTGTACAAGTATAGCACATAGCCACATTCCAAAAAAGCTTAGATTGCCAAAGAATTTAAGTGCAAAGCGAAGTATTTGTAAGAAGAAAACAAAGATAAATTCTTTCTTTGTTGAGCTATGGCAAACTTATCAACTTCTCTGGTTTTCTTGATGGGAAGTTTGAAACTAAATTTACCTTTTTTCTTCACAAAGTAATTGTATACATTTACAGATAGTTGTATTAGATACCAGAGACAAATATGTCTGATTGGCGTTATTGGCTTTTTTTTGTCTGAGTCATACAATCAGTCATAGCAAGTGCTTTTGATTTTTGCCTTTTTAACAACATGCAGCTGAAACTGTTCCTTACATTCATTAGGCTGCAGTGTTTCTCAACCTTGGCGACTTTAAGTCCTGTGGACTTCAACTCCCAGAATCCCCCAGTCAGATGCCTGGGGGATTCTGGGAGTTGAAGTCTACAGGACTTAAAGTCGCCAAGGTTGAGAAACACTGCATTAGGGGAAAATATTACCCATTTAGTTTCTGTTTGCTAAACAGTTGGTTAAGGTAGAAGAGGTCCGACTGAAACATGCACGTTCCAAAGAGATACTGCAGGAATTTCATCCATTCTTCATGTATTCCTTTCAGATTTTAAAAATATATTTCACACTCCTACATCCAAATCTTACAGAAATATATCTGAAAGCCAGCAACATTTATTTCAACAGAACTGGACTTTAATAAATGTGGTCAGGGTTAATCTTAGAGATCAGCACTGAGGGCGTACTTCTCACATATGTTTAATAGCTTTAATTCTTTAATTCAGTCTTTAATTCAAAACCTATTCTCACATGGTGTATTACTCAGGACTTGATTATCTTGTTTTACTAAAGTGCTTTCTAGCTAATAAGGGGGACTACACAAAGGGAGCATTAAAAAAAAGTCAAGATGCTGGCTGCATTCCTTCCTTCACATGCCTTATATTACAGCATATATAGAAAGGGAGGTACGGTTTAAACTGTACAGCCATATTCTTGATACTTGGGACATCTCCCTGTGGTGAGTTGCCACAAACTGCCCCCTTAGTGCATGTATTTTGAAAGGTCTATGAACCTTGGAAAGCTTCTTAGGCGGGCAGGGACATCTGCTTTCTATTTAAGCACTATGGACCTTAGTTACCATGGACTTTAGATGTTTCATATATATTGAACAGAAATATTGAAAAAGGGACCGCTAGAAAAGGAGAATGAGAAATACTGACATATTCATCAAATGCTCAACAGCATTTGAAACCTATACTAGCAATCAGATTTCCCCATGACTATAGCAATAGCAGTTAGACTTATATACCGCTTCATAGGGCTTTCAGCCCTCTCTAAGCGGTTTACAGAGTCAGCATATTTCCCCCACAACAATCTGGGTCCTCATTTTACCCACCTCGGAAGGATGGAAGGCTGAGTCAACCTTGAGCCGGTGAGATTTGAGCAGCTGAACTGCAGAACTGCAGTCAGCTGAAGTAGCCTGCAGTGCTGCATTTAACCACTGCGCCACCTCGGCTCGACTAGCTAACCCTAAGCCTAGTTAGCCTTCTCCACATTGATATTTTATAATGCTTTACTAGAGTTAAGGCAAAAAAGAGTAGAAGGATGGGAATATTTCTTCTAAAGGCTCTCAAATATATTATCCCAATTCATTACCAACAGTTTAAAAACCAGGATTGTTATGTTTACAATTTACACTGGTATACTGTATAATCGCAATTTTTCTAACATTGTAACCACACATTCTTGACACATAATTAGCAGACCTATACAAGTTTTTACAAATGAAAATGTGCATGTTTAAATATACAAAATCAATAACCGGTACGACACAGGTCCTATGAAGAACCTACAAGTTCACTCCCAAACAAACAAACATACATTTATTTTTGACCTTTCTTACAGAGTTGCAGTAATGAAAGAGAAGAAATTAGAATGGAACCAATTGAGGACTGATTATATAATCCAGACAGTCGGGTGTACCTGGATGCATATATCTATATATAGTTTGAGGTTTTGCATTTTGAGTAGAAATTAAATAAATAGTTTTTACTAATATTGGCTTTATGCAAACAGTGGTTGGAGGAAAATTTACGGAAATCCAACATAGCTTGAAGTATGTCAAAACCCTAACTTCTATTCTACACCTTAACACGGATTTGAAGAAAAAGTTGGAGAAGATAGTATTTGAGCATTATTTAACATTTTATCATATATATTTGAGGCATTATTACTGTTACTGAGTTACCATTGCATTATCTTTGATATGGCCTTGCATCAGAATGAATGGCTTATTTTAAATTCCTTTAATTAAACAAGAATATGCCATAATTTGAAGAAATAATATGGAAGCTTGTCACTGTGAAAAGGTGAATAATACTGAAATTGTGAGAATTTGGGAAGACAGGTGGTTTTGTTTTCGAAAAGTTAGGTAGAAGGAAAAAAGAACAGTTTCAGTTCTACTGTGCCCCGGTCCTTGATGGTTTATGGGAAATAACATTCTTTTAAAATGAATTTATTACTATTTCCAGAGGCTCTTTCCTTCCTTGCTACAAGATGAAAAGTTACTTTTCAATTATAATGATAATGTTTTAATTAAAAAGATGAAAATTGGAATTAAGCAAAACCATGCAATGTAAAAACATATTAAAATCCACATGCACATAAATTAAAAAAGAAAGAAAAAGCAGGCTTCAAAGCATGTAGAAACACCAAAATGTGAAGCATGCAGAGATCTGTATGCCAGTGCAAGCAAATCACTGTCTAGACTAAGAGACAGTATCTTCTGCAGGACTAGATAAAATAGACATATGTACTTATGGACAAATCTGATATGACTTTATTTCAACTGCACAATTCATTTCTCACTCCCAATATATTAAAATACTTCTGGATTTTTGGGAAATGTGTGTGACAGAAGTGAAACTTTGGCTTTCTGTTCTATCAATTATTAATATTATTTTGTTCCATGAAATTTTTGCATGAAATTAATTAGGCAAAAATAGAACTCAATATAGTAAACTAATAGGATCAGAAAAGGTCAAATGTAGCTAAAAGTAACACTATATTAAATTTTCAGATCACTTGTAAGTATCAAACAAAAATAATTTTCTTAAAGATTTTTTTTTTTTACATTTTGAATTTGGATTTTTTTTTATTGGCTTCATTTATTCCTATTAGCTAAGAAGCAACAATGTAATTCAATTTCCAAATGAGCTGGAGAAATATGGTTGCTTATAAAGTACATTAATGATTATCCAAGGAGTAACTCCTTTTTCCAAAATGTATTCATTTGGAGCCCTCCAGAAATTAATACTGCCTCTTTAATAACTGAAACCAAGTGACTAGATAAGTGCATTCAGATCTCATAGGATTACAGCCTCGGGATAACTTGGGTCTAGAACAACAGCCTTGCTTTGCACAATGTCAACTTCCATGGCGAATGGACAACATTTACATTCTGTGGTGAAGGGAGAGTGTTACTACTAAATCTTTAGAAATTTAAGAATAGACCTATATAGTAAATGCTACTTACAAACTGAAAAAAGGGAGAAAAAACCATGAAAGTAAGCATCTGGAGGGTTGCCTTTAAACAACAGATCAAACCACAAATTAAAATCACAAAAAAATAACAGCTATAAAATAGAATTACACAAATGCAATTACACTTCTGATAACCTTCAAACTGTAAGCCAGTTTTCTTGTTTTCAAAAGGATTCTGAACATTGCACATATGGACTTCAAATCAGACAAAATTTTAATAGTGATATTGAAGTATTTAATTTATTAACCCTCTTTCAGGCCACATTAATATACTGTACAAGTGCAACATAGAGAAACAATAAATACATTTATCAAAAAGCCAGAGATGACTTGGACCATTTTTATTCATCTGAACTTAAAGGGAAACAGATTGTTGTGCTACACAAACCACAGGATGGAAAGTAATTAAGGAGAGAAACAACCTAGAATTAGGGAGAAGTTTCCTGACAATTAGGAT